CTGTTTTTGTGACTTAGGGGACATTAAATCCATTTTTGTCCCCAAAGGGCAAATGAGTCCTCATAATGTGACTGTGTTGACAGGGTTCAGTCCCCACAATGTAATTTTATTCAGTATAACTGTATTTATAGATTTATAATGAAGCCACATTTATAACTTCTGCATGTTCTCCTAGTTACGCTATCATTCTGCTGGAGATCGCCACTCGCAGCGACCCCGTCCCAGTAAGTCACAACCTGACTGACTACCTTGCCACTCTCTCTTTCTAACTGTAATTGTTTTTATGTTTGTGTTGCTGTTTATCTTCAGGTTATTGTGTGTGCTGCCTACTTGGACCGGTTAATTGAAGAACAGATAAATAAATAAATCTATACTTTGCAGGCAGAGGAGTCTAATCTGGAGAGTGCCTGGTGTCCTCCCCTGCCAGAGTTGATTTCCAGTAAAGCCGACAACACCTGTCCCTGTCCTGCTGACTACGTAGAGGTGTTTTATTATTTCTAAATGTTTTATTGTCCTTAATCTGTTTTATTTCCTTTTATCATTTTGTTTTCTAGTGTGCATCAGTCTCCAATTGTTTTAATGTTTACTTGCATGCACTAACCTGTACGATCATTGTATCACATTCACAGTCACAAGAAGTCTTTCTCTTACCCTTTTCTTTGCTGTCTTTTGTCCCATGCGTGTTTCCATAGCTGATCCGGAGATGCCGCTCCAATAATCCCGCCCACCGACCCACGTTTGAACAAATCAAGAAGTTTGTTCACCGAATCAACCCAATCAAAGTCAGCCCAGTGGACATGATGATGAACCTGGTAATAAACTTCATCATACACAGAGTAGACATCAGATTAAATATAATACAGTATCACTGTCTCACATTATATATACTTTATATAATTTACTTTCAAATAATCAAACTTAGCATTGTATCATATTAAATCATTATAGCCTGTCTTTTTTGATATATTGTACCATAGGTCACATCAAATTATATTGAACGGCACATCATCTATATTGTGTCATTCAGTTCCTTCAGTAAAATGATTTCAGTCTAATATTGCAGTCCTGCAATAAATCCTGCTTTATGAAGGATAGAATGTTTTAGACGTTTTGATTCAATAGTATGATCATTTTTGAAAATGTAGTTTATGATGATGCTGTATTGATTTATTTAGAGATGTCTTTCTATTTTGTTTGTTTCTGATTTTGTCTATTTATATCAATGGAGGTAGGCTAAATTAATAGAAACACCCCTCTGTAACATCACCATTAAAGGACCAGTGTGTATGATTGAAGGAGATATTGGCAGAAATATATATATATAAGTATGTTTACCGTTACGTTATTGTTTTATAACCTGAAAATAAGACTCTTTTTTTTTGCTACCCTAGAATGAGCCTTATAAATCTACTGAAGGAACAGGTCCTATTACATGGGTTCTGCCATGTTTCTACAGTAGCCTGGAATGGACAAACCAAAAAACCTGTTTACCATCAAAATGTACTGGACACTTGAGATGTGCCTGATGTGTTTTATGTTAGTGCAAAACTTAATATTAGATTTCTGCAGCGCAAACTTCACTCCACATAACAAATTGTGTCAATACAGGATGTCATGAGTATTACTTATCAGCCTCACAGGACCCTGAAAAGAGACTCTGCAGACCTGTTTAATTATTTTTTCTCTGAAACATTACCAGTGTAATGAAGTGATTTCTATCAAAAGCCATCAGTCTGTCACAGTATTAATTGTCACACACTTCAAACTTATAACCAAAGCATCAATCACACTGCCTGACTAAAATATTAAATAAATAAAAACAGCAATAAACATGCTGCACCAGTGTGAGCTGTCTTACCTTAAAACTAGTGTTTCTTTCTCACTGGTTTCTGTGAGAAACCATTTGCCGCCTTATTAAAACCCTGGACTCGGACCAGATCACCGGGTGTTTACAGATAATTCTGAAATGTCAACTGAAGTTTCCTTCTAGGAATACTGAACATTTTGAGTTTCATTTCATTTCATTCTGGTTTGCTTTCATGCGCACGCTGCTCATGCTGACTCAGACAGCTGTTTATTCTGTATCACCACAGTGTAATATGAAGGTATAACTTTTTCTGTTTCAGATGGAGAAGTACAGTAAACATCTGGAGGTGTTGGTGGCCGAGCGGACTCAGGATCTAATGCACGAGAAACAGAGGACTGACAGGCTGCTATACAGTACGAGACACATATCTACATACCTGTTCATCACACCAGTTACTGGAGTTAACACTGCAACACAAACATTTTACATGTTAATCATCTATAATGTCATTGTGTAAATAATACAATTTTTCCTGGTTTTGAGGTGCAGGTAATAATAATAAAAATTGCATCACAACATTCTGTTTCTATCTTATAAACAACATTGTTAAGAACATTAGACAGCAAAAATGCATTTCTATGCAGATGATACAGTTATCTATCACTGTTTAAATCAATCTCTACTGGACTATGGTGACATCCCATATGCACTACCACCACTATCAAAAAATGTTTTGTGAAGAATCAAATTGTTTAAATAGTCACGCTGGCTCCTTTATGTCTCTCGTATCCTATGTTACGCTCCTCTGCTTCTATCTACATGTTGTTCTGCAAATCCTCAATTTGCGCAAACATTTTTTTATTTTAATGACGTCTTGTTCTTCTGCGGTGGTTTAATGGCAGTGACTGGAGAGTTTGCTCCACCAGCTGTTGAGCTCCATCAACTGCTGAGCTTGTGTTCACACAGCAGCAGTGGATGGAGACAAGCAGGAACTCATGTTTGTTCATAATTTTCTTGGAAATTCGGTTAAAATTTCTTCCACATTTGGATGGAAACTTTACTCATGAGTTAACTACTCTACTCTGCCATTTGGCTAGTTCTCTATGTAAAAGGAATTATGTTTCTGAAGAGACTTCCTGTTTAAACAAAATAAAAATGTAAGCATGTTTATGTTGCAGGTATGCTTCCTAAACAGGTAGCTGATGACCTGCGGCAGGGGAAACCACTGCAGGCCCAGAGCTACGTCAGCGCCACCGTCTTCTTCAGGTAGCAGAGACACGAACTGACCGACTTTCTGTTTTAGATGTGGAAGTCATGATCTGCCTTTTTCACAGAAGATACAGTATTGTGCTAAGGTTTTAGGCAAAAATGCTGTCAAGTAAGAATGCTTTCAAAAATAGACACGTGAGTCTGTTCCTCAGTTGTATTCCTCTTACAGAGCCGTTTCTGTTTCACTTAATGATTGTGTTTCATTCTACATATTGACTTTATGATCATTAGCACCTGATTGGTCTAATTGTTTAATCATACATCTGATGATATGCCTATACAACACGTTCTCACTCCAAATTGTCACATATGGACGCATGATAAAGACCCCTTGGCGTCAGTTTGTAACACTATGGGGAGCCCTTTAGCGTCATAGTTCAACACACTGGGGAAGCCCTGTGGCGTTGTTTTTGAACGTTAAAGGTAGGTTTAGGATATTTAACACAAACTTCCAAGTAAGGAGGTGGTTGGGGTGGACAGAACCAGACTTTTACACATGAGACCGGTGTTTGATTCCCATGTGAAACTTGAAAATTTAACAGGAAAACAGAATTTATGCAGTTTTGAAGGCAAAGGGTGGTCACAACAAATATTGATTTGATTCAGACTTCTCTTCTGTTCACTAACATGCATTTTGATAATAGATAAATATAATCTATGAACATGTCTATTTTTGGAAGCGTTACCTTTACATTATTTTTATTTTATTACTTTGCCGGTATGAAACCATTGTGCAGATGATATATTTAACATTTAATGAATTAACATTATAATCACACATTAGTCTGTTTTGAAAATGAGACAAACAGAATAGTTCTGTGATACTACAGGATTAATCCAAGCACACATTGTACTGTAAGTATCAGTGTGCAAGTATGTTCATTTACCTCCTTCAGGGGTCATTGTTGAATAATACAGAAATAAGGGAAGTCTAAAATGTGTGTGTGTGTGTGTGTGTGTGTGTGTGTGTGTGTAGTGATATTGTGGGCTTCACACAGCTGTCCAGCAGCAGCACACCTTACCAGGTCGTGGACCTCCTCAACAAACTCTATACGACGTTTGACGACATCATCGACAACTACGACGTCTACAAGGTGGAAACCATCGGAGACGCCTGTGGGTGACACACACACACACAGAGTGTAACTGTTAGCTACTGTGTATTAAGGTCCTGTCGTACATTGTTGTCACTAACTTTAAGTGACTGGATGTGCTCAGGTATGAAGATGTTTCCAATATTTAGTCTACCTTGACTATATTAATGGGGTGGACAGAATATTGGAAACACCTCTTAGTGTAGGTCAAACAACAGTCTCCACCAAAACAAAGTCTCTGAAACAGTTTCAACATGAACTGAACATTATTTTAACCTCCATGTAACCTCCATACTGTGTCATGGTGTGGTTGTGTAGACATGGTGGTGTCCGGTGTTCCCAAGGAGAACGGGATCCTCCACGCCTCCGAGATCGCCAGCATGGCTCTGGACCTGGTGGGCGTCTGTCGCACCTTCAGGATCCCCCACAAGCCGAACACACAGCTGCAGATACGAGCGGGGATACACTCCGGTAAACACACGCCTCAAACACAACAAATCCACTCATCATAAACCTGCTCTGACCATCTCTGTCTCTCTTCAGGTCCAGTGGTGGCGGGGGTTGTAGGGACGAAGATGCCTCGTTACTGTCTTTTTGGAGACACAGTCAACACAGCATCCAGGATGGAGTCCACCAGTCTGGGTAACACACAGTAACATCTCCACATGACTCTGACCATAGACGCTATTAAATTTTCAATGTTTTGAAGGTCATTTACTTCTGAGCAGGGATGTTTTTGAAAACTCTCCTTGTTGGTGTGTTCAAGGACACTCAGCTACCCTCTTGTGATAAAAGTATTAGAACAATGAGTATATGACTCTCACCGTCATGGAGAAAACTTGGAAATGTAAAATATGTGAATTGTATTTTTGTACTAAATCCAGCGGCGTCTTCCTTTCTGAATGCGTGAACACTAAGTCTGTGTCTTTTCAGCGCTGAAGATCCAGTGCAGCTCCAGTGTGTTTTACCTGCTGGAGGAGATCGGCGGCTACGTGCTGGAGTGCAGAGGGATGCTGCAGGTCAAGGTGAGCCGGCCCGCCACAGTCCAGATCTGCCAGGCGCTGGGAGCTTAGCGCAAGTAAACCCTCTGGATCTGTGTCTCTCCAACAGGGGAAAGGGGACATGGTGACTTACTGGTTGGAGGGAAAAGAAGACGTCTCTGGCCTCCAAGGACGTCGGCGCCGACTCCAAGACGACCAAACACATCCTCATGGAGGCAGAGACGGAGACGGAGAAAGAGCAGGAGTTGTACTCCTCCATACCGGGGTGTCTGAACAACGATCTCCTCCTGGATCCAGCCTGACCCCCAAAGAGTTTATCATTTGATGTGATTTCCTCAGTTGTCGTCAGTGTTTGTTGACTGTTAGTGTTACATGTACGCAGCGTGTGGCTGTTTTAATGTCATTGATCCCTGCAGCTTAAATATCTTAACTGGCAGGAAAAGTCATTATGCTAACAAAACTAGTTACTCTGTACGTCTTGATAATCACTGTCACACCTTAAATTCTTTGACGCAGGCTGATCTCAAAGACAGGCTTTTATTTCTGGTCTCACATTTTTAAGAATATTTGATCAAATTTTAGTAGGACTGGCCATCGAGAACCGGTTCCAACTTTCAAAAATCACGATTCCAGCGGAATCGTTTGGAAAATTTGGTTTCGAATATGATCTTTAGTTCCAAATTTAACATGCAAGTTTTGGTTTCCGTAGCAGCCACCATACTTCCAGGCAAAGCTCAGGTCTGCACAGAACAAAACATGACACACTTACTTCTTGCACGGGAGGATGCACTATGAATATAATATCTATGCCTGCATGATGTACAAATCAACAAGAAGTGTTTGTCGCGCTGCTCCGGTCTCACTGTCCTGTCTCGTCCTCCTCAGGCAACCCTGAACTAACAAGAATTTCGTCACAAGTGAAACTGTAGTGATGCAAGTTGCTTGACCAAATTGCTAAAATTATGGCGAACAACGTTACTGTAATGTGTTTTTTTTTCTAGATAAAAGTACGCAAATTTCTAAGACCTACCACTGCTAATGTTAAACCGGAGACTCGGCGTGAAACTCCGTTCACCTTAGCCCAGAACCTGAGTTGAAAATTTATAAGAACCGCAATCGAAAGGAAGAATCACAATCATTGAAATCAAAACGATGCCCAACACTACATTTTTGTAAGAAGCCCGCACTGTTTTGCGATGTGACAGCCAGAGCCACTCACAGAATCGTGATATTAATCGGGCTGTGACGACACAACAAGACTATTATTTTAACACTATTTTAAGCAATCTTGAACGATGAATATATGACTGGTAAAAAATTTAATTTACCCGACTGAAAGTCACATAATGCAAAACAATGCAGGTGCATTTTGAAGTTACTTAAATATTGTATGCGTTTTGTCTGTCCCCGTTCATTGTTTCCACCGGGTTCCCAAAACGCTGCCACACAAACCATTTAAAAGTGCATCTTCTATGCTAATTTCACCCTCACACTCCTTCACGCTGATAATGTGAGACTTGCTTTTTAACTCGTTGAGAAATATCGACTAGCCGAGCAGCTACGAGACTTTTAAACTCAAACTCATCCTCAGCACTGCTCCATTGGATTTACTTTATTTCTGTTTACCATTTTATGATTGCTTTAGTATTACTGTATATCTGCTACATAGCAGAAGGGAGTTACAAACTTAATTTCACTTTACCACCCGTTGTGATGTGACAAATAAACCTACCTTCTAAATATTTTCCACCTCTACAACATTATTTCAGAGACATTAGTGTTATTATATAAACTGTAGTGTGCGTATAGATACGCTACATTTCACAGCTTCTCGGAGCTAAACGTACCGGCTAGACTTTGATTAGGACTGGCTGAATAAAACAATCGATTTGCCAGTGAACAGCGATCATCAGTTGAATAATCCAATATTATTACGTAATGTTGTAGGACTCGAGACCGGTCTTAAGACCACTTTTTGATGGTCTTGGTCTCGACCACATTTGTACTCTGTCTTGTCTCGGTCTCAGACATTGAAGACTCGGAATTTTATTATAAGACCAGTCAAGACCATAACTTTGGGAAAAATCAATAAATTGCTTTTACATTTTTACTGATTTATTTGTTAACATCCAAACTTTGATTGGATGTAAAACGTATCGCTTCAAATGCAACCAATAACCCTAATTAACAATGCATTGTTCCCGTTAACGACTGTCCCCCCTCCCCACGATGGTAAGCATGGAAAAGGAGTGTTGAAAACAAACGCTTACATTGATTACAGCTCTTAGTGTTTGTATGTGGGTGTTTTTATTGGAATGTGGATCTTTCAGGTCAGTTTGAGAAGTACCTCTGATCTCGTTCCACATTTTACTGTGTGTCATGTAATGTGGAGAACTGGTATCGGCCTTGACTTGGTCTCGGTTTGGGCGGTCTTGACTACAACACTATTATTAAGATATCTGCATGTTTGCTTTTCTCTGTGATTCTGTGTGTTCAGTGTGCAGACTGTGGCTACGTATTGACTATAACAGACCAAGTGTATTAAAAAGTAAAAGCGCCTCCTGTGGATTCTTCCGGTAGTTTCACGCTCGAACAGGCGGCTCATCAACATCTCTGCTGGCACGCACGTGTTGTATAAATATTCATGTCGCATTGTTGAGCAGATGGACGACTTGAAGAGACGGAGATGAAGGGATCTGTTTGCCCGTTAGCGGCAAAGATGGCCGACATGACAACAGATGGTCAGAAGGAAGAAGAGGAGCAGGAGAGGACCTTAGAGAGAAGAAGAGGGGACGAGTTGAGGGGAAACGAGCCAGACACCAAACTTTAATTTGTGATGGAGATAATTAATTCAGATCAGAACAGATATGTGCAGGTCTGTTTCCTTTAACAGGTCGCGATCAGCAGTGTTATGATCTCGTTAGCTGGAGTTTCCTGGTGCTCATATGAAGCCTGATTTGTGGAAGCAAAGACGGGCTGTAAGGTTTTAATTTTATAAGCAGCTCAACACCAGTGAAACTGAACCACTCAGGAGGCCCAGGACGGACGGGGACAATTACCATGTGTGATCAGATACAGTCATCATTTCACTCATACTGTGTAGACATAGTTTCTGGGCTTTTCTAGATTGCTGTTGGCTAAAGCTGTTTTGGTTGTTTGATAGTAGGAGACAGCAGGTTTGAATCGGGGCTGTAAGATTTGAGTTTGGCATTTCGGCTGCTGTCCGTGGTGCTGATCAAAGGCTGCAGGTTTGCATTTACATGGAGTCTGTACACCCGTGTGTACACGAACGTGCTTTTTGTGGCGAGGCACACAAGAAAAATATTAACATGGAGGGACAATCACAATTATGTTATGCTGCTGGAACCACTCCTGAATTTAGAATATTGTATTTTTGAAAATCTATCTTGTATGATATGAATTCGAGTACTGTAATATTCAAAAGGACCTAAATGTTTGTGGTTGCCAGCCACTTTTCCACTTTTCTTTCTTGAATCACGTGACAAAGGAAGTTTGAACGATTCCTTTCAGGCTTGTACTTCTGGATTTCACCAATCCAGCTTGATTTTTGGATTCCAAAAAAAAGGAGCAATTTAATTTGAGCAACTTGAAAATCATTTTTGGTGGCAGCATGTCTCTGCCTCCGTTAAGTCAGCCCAGGTCCGGTTCAGACTCAAACAGCTGTTGGATGTTGTGGTTCAGACGTTCATGTTTCCCGCCAGGATGAATTCTAATAACTTCGTTGACCCCCTGACTTTTACTCTAGCGCCATC